GCCTCCTCCTCCGATGGGATATTTTTTGTGGGGGGGGGGGGGGGGGGAGGGAAATGGAGAAACTGTGTAAAATTATTACAAATGTATGTACATTTTCCCTTCATCAGGTATTTTTAGGGAGGGAAAAACAGGGAAATGGGCTAATTAGTACAAATTTCCCATATTTCTCACCCTCTAACAGTAATTTTTTTGGGGGGTGGGTGGGAAGGGAAATTAGCTAATTATTATCAATTCCTGATATTCCCTCCCCACCATGAGGTAAATTTTTTTGGGGGGGGGCGGAAATGGGGAAATTGGCAGTTATAAATTCCTGATCTTTCTCCCCCCAACATGGTCATTGGAAAAATGGTAAATTATTAACAATTCTTCATATTTCTCCACCAGTGGGGTCATTTATTGGGGGGGGGAGATGGACGGGGACAGGGAAATTGACCCTACCGGGGGGAGAAAGGTAAAAAATGTATAATAATTTGCTAATGGGGTGGGGGGGAACAGGTGCATTGGTGAATTAAAAAAAAATCTTGCTATTTCTCCCCCAGTGGGGTCATTTTTGGGGAGAAAAACAGGAAAACTTGCAAATTATTATACATTCTTGATCGCCCCCCCACCCCCATCCAGGTCACAGTGTGGGGGGACAGGATTATTGGTGAATTATGAAAAATTCTTGATGTTTCTTTTTTTTTTTTGGGGGGGGGGGGGGGGACAAAACCCTGTTTGCCATTATACTATGAATCTAAAACATGGACACGATGACGACAGGGAAATTGACCATTATAAAATTCTCGATCTTTCTCTACCCCGCCCCCCTGGGATACTTTTTATGGGGGAAAAAAAGGAGAAATTGGCAAATTGTTATAAAGTCCTTATTTTCATTCATAATATTTGGGGAAAACCCCAGGAAATCGGTTAATAATCTCTTCCTTTCCCCCTACCCCTTGGCTCAAGTTTTCCCCTTTCTGTCCCTCCTCAAACATGCCTGAAATGTTCTAAATTTGGGTTGAAAATAAAAAGAAAAGGAGAATTCATCACACCCCTGAAAACAGGGGAGGTTTGGACACACCGGGAAAGGGGAAAACTCACTAGCCCTCTGGGAAGAGCTGGTAGCCACAGGGGACATATGCAGTAGCCAGGGTCTGGGGCGGACTTCAGTTTGATCGGCCACTTGGGATGGCTCTGGAGGGGGTCAAGGGTCATGGGAATAATTAGTAGCCCAAAGCAATTAGTTAGTAGCCACAAGATTATTGCTGGCCATGGGGGAATACCCCCATAGTCACCATGGACGTAGAAGCCAAACAGCACAAGGGGTGGCTAGCCCCAAGCAAATAACTGGCGCCAACAGAAATCCTTGCTAGAAATAATTAGTAGCCCACAAAAGATAATTAGTAACCCACAGGCAACCATGAGCAGTCCCAGGGAAACTGAGTCAACAAATCTGTACTAGGCAAGGGCAAAAAAAGGAGCAGCCAGCATAAAATAAATAGTGTCGAAAAGCAGATAACGAACAGCCAAAAGCAAATCATTAGCCCAGGAGACATGATTTGGTAGCCCAGGGGATTTGTTAGTAGCCACAGGGAAATGAGTAGCCAAAAGCAAATCATTTGTAAAAAAATTAGCAGCTCAGAGGAACTGGTTAATAGGCAGAAGCAAATTGTTAGAAGTCCAAGAAAATAATTAGTTCCAGAGAAATAACAAGGAGCCCACTGGGATGGGCTACTAGAGGAAAAAAAGTAGCTAGCCATTTTGGGGGGAGAAAGGGATGATTGGTTGATTTTCAGCTCAATCCTGGTCACTAACAAGCTTAAAAATATTACATATTGTGCTGTACGTATTGGATAATCAAAATATGTGTGTGCACGCCGGTGTGTGTGGCCGTTTCCTACCTGGCCCACCCCAGAGACAGCCACATCTCTGCTGTCTCTGTGCACTGTTATATGTGGCTGTTCCCTGGTCCACCCCAGAGCCAGCTGTATCTCTGCTTTCTCCACGCACTGTTCTATGTGGCTGTTCCCTACCTGGTCCACCCTAGAGCCAGCTGCATCTCTGCTGTCTCCCTGCAGCATCCTGTGTGGCTTTCCCCTACTTGTTCCACCCCAAAGCCAGATGCATCCCTGTTTGCCCCAGAGGAAACAGAGGCCCAGGGCCCCGCCTTGAGGATCCTGAACGGGGTAAGAGGGAGGGGCATTTTTAATGGGGGTGGGGCAATGATTTTCCCCTCTAGGGGGCAATTTTCGAAGTCACAGTGGGGGCAGGGGACACACACAGAGGTGGGGGCTGAGTTAAAAATCTACTATATATATATTTATACATATAAAAGAAAAAAAAAATACAGGGAGGGGGGTGTCGGCCCAGGTGGGGAAGGGGTGGGGGCAGGATATGTCCCCCCCCCCTGCAAGGGTGGGGAGGGGAGGAAAGGGTTACTGCCCCGGGGTGTCGCCCACGACCTCGATGCCATGCTGTTGGAGCTGAGCCCGCAGCAGTGAGTTCTCGTTCTTCAGCTCTTCGATCTGTGAAGATGGGAGGGGGGGGTGGAGGTCAGGAGACGGCTCCACTCCAGAGCTGGCCACATCCTGGGGGATTTCCTGTGCTGTTCTTTTTGGCCATTCAACACGTTCCACCCCAGAGCTGGCTGCATTTTGGGGACTTCCCTATTCAGTGTTGTATGTGGCCATTCAACACAATGCACCCCAGAGCTGGCTGCACACTGGGAGCTTCCCTGTGTGGTGTCATATGTGACCGTTCAACCTGTTCCACCCCAGAGCCAGCTGAAACTCAGCTACCCTGTGGGGCATTATATGTCCCTGCCTGTTCTACCCCAGCACTGGCTGCATCTCCACTATCCCACATGATGTTATATGCTGGCTGCACCTCAGCTATCCTGTGGGGAGTGATATGCAGCCATTCCCTGACTGTTCCACCTCAGCAATGGCCGCATCAGCGCTATCCCATGTAATGTTATGTGGGGCTGTTCCCCACTTGTTCCACCCCAGAGCTGGCTGCGCCTCAGCTATCCTGTGGGGCGTTATGTGGCTGTTCCCCACCAGTTCCACCCCAGCACTGGCCACACTGGGGGGGGGTCACCTGTTGCCGGAGGAGGTCGTTGTCCATCTGCAGCCGCTCGGCCTCCTTGAAGGTCTCCTGCATGCGCTGGTTCGTCTGTCGCAGCTCCCGGATGTAGTCGCAAGCCTTGGACAGGATCCCACCCTTGCTCTGGGGGAGGGGACGGGGCTTAGCTGAGGGGGCAGGGCTCCAGGGTGGGCCCCACCCAAGAAACCCCTCCCTTCAGCCCCACCCCTTCTCACCTCAAGTCTTGCTCCCTTCCTGACCCACCCACTGGTCACCACCAAGCCCCTGCTCTTTACCATCAAACCCCCCCCCTACACAAGCTAGAAGCCCTGCCCATTGCCATCACGCCTGGCTGGTCCCAAGCTCCAAGCCCCACCCTCTTCACAACCCAAGCCCCACCTCCTTTCAATCCCCTCCATAACAACCAAGCCCAATAGCTCCACCCCCAGCCCTGAGCCCCCAATTTAGCCCCGCCCTAACCTGACTTAGCTCTACCCCTCCATGACCTAACATGGCCCCTAGCTTTAGAACCACCCCTCCATGAGCTAGTGCCAACCTTAATCTTAGCTCCACCCCTCCATGACCTACCCCCACCTCTAACCTTAGCCCCACCCCTGCATGACCTAGCCCCGCCCTCAGCCTTAGCCCAATCTCTCCATGACCTAGCCCTGCCCCAACCATAGTCCCTCACCGCGCCTGTCTTGCTGTTGTCGGCATTGCAATCAGGGATGATCTTGGATAGCTGCACAATCCAGTTGTTGATCTTGTCCCGCCGCCGCCGCTCCACTGGCGAGAAACCCAGGTGTCCCGAGGGCAGGGGGAAGGCATGGACACACAGGGGTTAATCACGGCCCTCCGGCCCGCATGCGACTCAGGGGGGAGGGAATGGGGGACAACAACGAGGACAGCGGGGCAACTTGGTGCCAGGATGCAACCAGCTCTGGGGTGAAGCTGGGGGAATGGCTGAGTGGAACGGCGAGAGCTGTGGGGTGCGGAAGGGGCACCAGCCCCTGCCCAGGCCCAGGGCATTGTGGGACATGTACTCCCCCTCCAACCCCATCTAAGGGCCCAGCTGCCTACTGTTACCCAGAATGCATCAGGTGAGGTAGCATCATGCCAGCACTGGGCTGGACCAGGGGACAGGACAGGCAGCGCTCAGGGCAGCTGGGGGGAGCCCGGGTTCCTTCCATTGCCGGGCGGTGGGGGGCATCCCGGAAGCCTGGGTTCCGTGGGGCAGGTGTGTGTGTGCGTGTCTGCGCATGTATCCCAGACACCTAGGTTCCACTGGGGGGGGTGTGCGTCTGTCCCCAGGATGTAGGAGCACCCACTCCTGACCTTTGCCCAGGGGTAAGTCCCATTCCACCTGGGTAAGTGTCTGCCTGCCCAACACCCCCTGCTGCTCACCTTCGTTGTGCTGCGCTCGTCGCCTCTCGTCACGAGGCGTCCGTGTCCCGTCCATCTTCCTGCGTGGGGGGTGGGGGCAGTTAGAACCCAGGCGTCCTGGACACATGCTCATCCCGGACACGCATACACACACAGGGAACCCAGGTGTCTGGGCCTTTCACTGCTCCCTCCCCACCCAACCGCTCTCAAGCCTCCTCTCACCTCATGCCACCCCCCAACCCCTCATGCTCTGACCCAGGCCCCACCCCTCTACCCCATGCCTCCCTTCCTCCCTCCCCAGTCCCTGTCCCTGCCCCCAGCAGCACTCACGGGGAGTAGGGGTGGGTGCGGGGGGCGATGGTTCGCTGCGTCCCCGTCTGCAGCACGTCCTGGGGCGTCATCATCACGTAGAACTGCCCTGGGGGCAGGGTGGGAGGGTCACTGCCCGGATGGGTCTCCCCAGCACGTGAAGTGGGGTGGCTGGGAGGATGCTTGGGTTCTTTGCAAACGTGAAGGGGAGGGGTGGCTGGGAGCCCGGACGCCTGGGTTCTGCCCCCGAACATGAAGGCGGGGGGGAGGGGGCACTGGGAGCCTGGATGCCTGGGTTCCCTCTGGCCCCAGAGGCTGGGGAGGTCAGAGCAAGGGATGCTGGGGGCCTGGACACCTGGGCTCTGTCCCCAGCTCCAGGACCCAGATGCCTGGGTCCTCTCCCAGGCTCCATGGGGAGCCCAGGTGCCTGGGTCCCACCCCAGCGCCCAGCCAATGGCCGGTCTCAGAACGGGCTTATGTGGCCCACAAAGGGGCCAGTGTGAGATGGGGGCCTAAAAAATTAGCCCTAATGAGAGGAGGAGGGACACAGCCCCCAACCCTCAAGATCCTGGGGGGCTTCCCCATTGACCTCTGACCCCAGAAAATCCCTCTAGACCCTGACCCCTGCCCTCCTTCCCAACCATTTAAAGGGCCAGTGCTTCTGGAGTCTCAGGATGGGGGCGCTCATTAAGAAAGCCCACTAAGGTGGCTCTGGATATACAAATCTATGCAAATAAGCCAAAAAGTCAACTGGCTTGACCCCTTTTGTGAAGAAGCCTCGCCTCCCTGACCCCTGACCTCAAGGCCCCGCCCCCTCCCCTATCCCCGGGAAGGTTTACCAGCAAGTGGGTTTCTCCCTGCTATGCCCTGGGTGTCTGAGTTACAGGGGCTGGGGGTGGGGCTCACCTCCAGCCTGTGCCAGGGATTGGTCGGTGGTCTGAACGGACACAGCGGTGGTGTCGCCCACGGAGGAGGCGGGGAAGTAGGCGAAGCGAGCCTCCCCACTGACCCCGTCACCCGCTGGGCTCCCGCCATTGCTGAACGGGTTCTGGATCACGGCCTGCGGGGGGGAGGGCGGGGAAGGTTAACCTGGGGGTGCCTGGATTCCCTGTTGCAATTATGGGGGGGCGAGGACACCTGGGTTCCCTCCAGGGATAGGGTGGGGGAGGGAGCATGGCCCAGATGCCTGGGTGCCCTATCCAGAACTAGGAAGAGAGGGCAAAAGGAGTCTGGGGAATGCCTGGACACTCAGGTTCCCTACCAGGATGGGGGTCTGGAACAGATTGGAACAGGGGTGCTGGGGGGGCCCCGATGCCTGGTTTTTCTGCCAGGATCTAGGAGGGGAGAGGGTGCAACGTGGGTGGGTAGATGGACCGCCGGATGCCTGGGTCCTGCCCCTCCCACCCCCCAGCTCAAAGGCCTCACTGCCCCTATGCTACTCTTCCACCCTCAAATTTAAAAGGACCCTCTCCAACCCCTCCACCTGGGCCACGGCCTGCTGCCCTCCAGTGAAGGCGGCAGTCGAGACAACGCTGACGGCCCCAGCAGCATCGGTCTGTCCATCCAGCTGACTGTCCGTCACCTGGACCACGCGATACGTCACCTGGCAGGGAGCAGGAAGGGGTTACACCATCAGCTGGGGGAGTGGGGGGCGATGGACTCCAGGGGCCAAGACACACAGAACCCAGCGGCCCCCGCTGGCCACTGCAATGGGCTTAGTGCCCCCTATGGGTCCTGAATGACCACTGCAATGGGTCTAGTGCCCCCTATGGGTCCTGAATGACCACTGCAATGGGTCTATTGCCCCCTATGGGCCCGCACTGACCACTGCAGCCCGCAGAGAGGCAGATTCAAGCCCAGTGCCCCCTGGGAGTCCCCCTTGCCACTGCAGGGCACCCCTTGGTGCCCGCCCCGCCCCACCCCACCCGAGCCCTCCACCCCAGCCCTCCCTGTCCTCCCTTGTTCTCTGTGCGAAACTGGTACTGGATGTTATGGTCGGCGAACGCCGCTTGCTGGACACTGGCGATAGCCACGGCAGTCTGCTCGTCCGCGGTGCTACCGTCCCCTGGTGCCGGAGACACACGTCAGCCGCCTGGACCCCCTCCCCGCTCTGGGGGGGTCAAGTTGGGAGTCTGGACACCTGGGTTCTCTGGGAAGGGAGTGGGATCTGGGGAGGGGGTTAGCAAGCTGGGACGCCTAGGTTCTCCCCAGCGGTGAAGGAGAGAGGCGGCTGAGGGTTCAAGCAGGGGTGCCTGGATGCCTGGGTTCCCAGCTCCAACCCCCTCCGCCCCCACTCACCTTCCTGCAGTTCTACTCCCTCCTCAGCTTCTTGTCCTTTCTCGTGGCTGGAAGACACAAGGAGATGACTCAGCTGGAGCCCCCAGGCTGGGAGGGAATCCAGGTACCTGGGCACCCAGCTGCCCACCCCAGTTCTCACTGCTTTTTCCCTGCCTGCCTGGAAAACACCTGAGTGTCACTTTCTGATTGACAAGCCTAGCTGGGGGGGGGGAGGAGTCATGTGACCCAGTGCATTGTGGGAAACTCCGTTTGACTGGAGGCTGGGAAGAACCAAGGCATCCAGACTGGGGGGAGCTGGTGGGGGTGTTCTGAGCTGCTGTGGGGGTATGGGGGCTCAGTACCTGCAGTGGCCACTAGAGGGCAATGTCACCCTCCATTTATACTGCCCAAGACTGGGATGTGAACCCATCCAGGGGGAGTGAACCCCTGCCAAACTGCAGGGGTGCCCCCCATTTATACTGGCCAAGACTGGGATGTGAACCCAGGTGTCTGGAGAGGAGCTAGTGAAGCTCCCTCTAACCCCAAGGGTGCCACAACTCCATGCCCCACAGCTCAGCGGGGTCTGAACAGGCCTCCAGGTTGGGTGGGAGGCAGGGGAGTAGACCCAGGTGGCCAGGGGTATTAGCCCACTGAGGGGGTGGGGGGGATCACTGGGACTCCATCTCCCCCAGTCTCTTTGCAACCAGGTTGTCAAGGCAATATCCCCCAGGGTCAATGGGGGGCTGCAGCAGCTACTCTGCAACACCGCCCCCCCTGCAACATATACACTTGCGCTCTGATCTGACCCCCTGGAAGCAGCCACCCACCACCACCAAGGCCAGGGCAAACACAGGCATCCAGGCACTCCCTGCCCCACAAAGCCAAGGCCAAAGCCAAGGGTAAGGCCAACCTGTGCACCCCCTTATCGGCCATAGGCAGGGAGTTGGGAGACCTGATAACAGCGTGATGAGTGCCACAGCAAGGGGGTGGGTGTGAAACCGGCCATATCTGCCCCTCCCAACCCCCCCTCAAGATCCTGGGCCCAGCAGCACCCTGTCCTTGCTCAGGGAGACCCCCAGAGGTGCCCAACCCCTCCCCTACCTGTTCTGGGGGCACATGGGGGTGGGGGGGTCTGGTCTGGCTTCCCTAACCAGCCCCCCCCGTACACACTCCTCCAGAACCTCCAGACCATGAGACCCCCCCAACATGTCAAAGACACCCCATCACAGCCCCCCACCCACTCATCCAGGGTGCCCCACTCACCTCGTGTCACATGACCCCACAATCACATGACCCCACATGCCTTCATTCCCCCCCAGCCCCCTGGAATCTGCCCTGATCCCCTAACCCCCACTCCTTCCCTGCCTCCAAATATGCCCCATGCCCCACCCCAAATCCAACCCCCCCAATTTGGCCCCTTTCCAACCCCACCATAGTTATGGCCAAAGGCCCCAACCCCTCCTGCCTCCCAAATC